GACATTAAAGCAACAGGCTTATTTTCCTTTTACAGAAATGAGTAAAATCTGGCCATTGTAAGTACCCCTGTCTGTGGTAAACCATTTGTCTCAACCCTCTAATTGCTACTTTTTGCTGATCAGCCTGATCTAAAGGAAGTTGAAAAATAAGACTTGCTGGAATACTGGTTAAAATAAAGAGAGGAAATCCCTAAAATAATGAAACTAATGCAGCTAAGAATTGATAAGCTGCAATGTTTTATTTTTGTGTTCAGTACTGCTTTAAGTACAGGTTGACTTTTGCAATATGTCCTCATTAACGCCAATGTTTTAACCACTTCCCTTCCGTAATATAGCAGTAATACTGCTACAGGGCGGCACGGGTGCGCAAAATCGCTCTTGTGTATGTATGTAGGTATGTATACAGTGAAGGAAATAAGTATTTGATCCCCTGCTGATTTTGAATGTTTGTCTGAAAAATCGAATGGTAGATGTATTGTAACACTGAGAGACAGAATAGCAACAGAAAATTCAAAAGAAATTCATGTCTAACAAATGATGCACTGATTTGCATGTTCATGAGGGAAATAAGTATTTGATCCCCTATGATTAAGCAGGATTTCTGGCTACCAGGTGTCTTTTATACAGGTAACAAGCTGAGATTAGAAGCAGTCTCTTAAAGGGAGTATTGCCAATCTCATTTTGTTACCTGTATAAAAGACACCTGTCCACAGGAGCAACCAAACAATCAGATTCCAACCTCTCCACCATGGCAAAGACCAAAGAGCTGTCCAAGGATGTCAATGGCCTGGTCAGGAAGGGGGGGTAAATCCTCTGGAGGGCAAGTGGTTAATATAAATGTTCTCCCAAAACGTTTTGTAAATTACTAAATTGCTTATTCATATATTTATATAAAAAATAATTTTATATTAAAACCTCCATTGCACCGAATAAACAGAACAGTGATTTGGAAAGATCCTGGGTGTCTCTTTTTGTGTCTGACTCTATTTGTAGTAGGTATTAATTTGGAACCACTAATCAATGAGGATAGAGGTTGCCTATTATAACATTACCTGGACAGCTTGTGTTTTTATATTTAATTTGTTTCTACTTTAAAACTCTCTAAATGGTTATAATGGGTTTGCTTAACCACTTCAATACCGGGCACTTTTACCCCTTCCTGCCCAGACCAATTCAGGTTTCAGCGCTCACACACACTTTGAATGACAATTGCGCGGTCATGCAACACTGTACCCAAACTAAATTTTTATCATTTTGTGCACACAACTAGAGCTTTCTTATGGTGGTATTTAATCAGCACTGGGGTTTTTACTTTTTGCTAAATTAACAAAAAAATACTGAAAATTTTGAAAACAAGTTTTTCTTTGTTTCAGTTATAAAATTTAGCAAATAAATCATTTGTTCTTCATAAATTTTAGGCCAAGATGTATTCTGATACATTTCTTTGGTGAAAATAACCCAAATCAGTATTTAGTCTGTAGGAGATTTTTTTAGCGTTCACAAACTATGGGATATATCTGAAAATCAATCCTGAAGTACTGACGACCAGTCTAATTTCTTGAGGCCCAAAAATCTCAGAACAGTATAGATATTCCCCAAATAACCCCTTTTTGCAAAGTCAGCAGTTCAACATATTTCATAAGAGGCATGTTTATGAAATTTTTTGAAGTTGTAATTTTTTTTTTTTTTTTGTCATTTTTTGGAAAATGTTCTGCTTGGACCTTGAAGAAGGGGACATACTCCAAAAGTTTGTTCTGAAAATTGTATGTTCCTGCAAAAAAAAAAAAAAAAAGTATCACAGACCGTACTCAATTGTTTCTTTGGAAAATTAAGCCATTAAAAAAAAAATGTATTTTTTTTAATGGCACCATTTTTTTTTTTTTTTTTTTTTTTTTTTTTTAAGTGTCATCATATAACTGGTGTGGTGGTGATCTGGGATACTGACTGATGACAGTACAAAAGAAAAAAAATTTTTTTTTTCTTTTTTTTTTTTTTTTTGTTTTTTTTTTTTTTTTTTTTTTTTTTTACGATTTTTCTTTTCATATTACACTATGACCAAAGTAGTGTAATGTTACCATAATAACATTACTACTTTGGGGAAGTAGTCAGTTTTTTTGTGATTGTGTGTGCTTTTGTGTGCTTTTTTTTTTGTTTTTTTTTACACAATGATTGCTTATAGCAAAGAATTTCTTTGCTGTAAGCAAGCATTTACCTGAATGAAATCTATTAATTCAGGGTTTTTTGTTGTGATTAACTGTGATTGTGACTAATCACAGCTAGTGACACAATATCTATGGCATGAAAGGAAGCCATCCATTGTTTACAACAGTCATGTGACCTGCTGTGATTGATCACAGTAGGTCACATGGCATGGTACTGGTAACGGGCCGGTACACAGATCTGTCATCGGCTGTGTCCGAGGTACACAGCCGGTGACAGATCTGGGAAGGGTGTCATATGAAGCCCACCTGGATTGAGGAGTCCTGTCCAGCCGTCATTTTCCTATTAGCAGGCGGTAAGTGGTTAAGCACCCAAAATATTATTTTGAACCTGCAAATTAAATGGTGGCACAGCGGAGCTTGTTTTAGGGGAGATTTTAGGCTACACTGCTTGTCATCGTGGATGCCCTCCTCATCATTGGTCTTCTTTGTTAGAATAGATGTGTGGCTTTTCTACATTTTAAAGAAACAGTCATAGCCTTGATCAGCCTTTTTCAACCAGGGTGCCTTCAAGTTTCATCAGGGGTCTCTTGGCAGAATGCCTAAAAATTGCTCCAACATTTCATGCATGCCAGCGGGTGGATCAAGCCTGCCTTTTAGTTGCACAAAGCCACATTGTGCACCAATACAGCCTTCAGGGTCCTAACAACCACTGACATCAGTTTATAAGAAGGGCGTCGCATGCCTGCGCAGCATCCCTGTTTGCCCCTCCCCTGCCCCCCTCCATTAGGGTTACATTTGCTGAGTGAGAGAAACTGAGGGAGAAGAGAAACACTGGAATACTAGTCAGTACCAGTGTGCATAGGTGTGTTTTTGCTTTGGAAAAATAAATCCCCTCTAACTCTGGGTGTTCTTCATGTACAGATGTTGCTGTGTTATAGAGAACTATTTTTTGTTTTTTACATTTTAGAATTAGGTGCCTCGAGATTTGTGCAAAATTTTAAAGTGTACCTTGACTGAAAGGTTGAGAAACCGTGGCCTAGATGTTAATTGGTGTGTATTTCAGTGAGTAATGCAGGCCATGCATGGGTTGAATTTTGAACTAATTTTATTTAAAAAAAAAAATCTAATTTAGTGCGTTTTGTAATCCGATGGCGCCACCATTGATTTCGAAATTCCACCAACCAAGCCTTTAATTTCACCTTTGTTGCTACAGAAAAGAATTTTTGTGGCCAGGAATGTTTCTTTTCTTTCCAGGTTACATCTCATGCTAATATCTTTTTCAGTAACATTTCTCGTTTGATTCTTCCATCATTGATTAGAAATTCCTTCATTTAAAAAAAAAAAAAAAAAAATTTCCAATGTGCCCGATCACTTAAATTCAATGGTCGCTCGAAAGTTGGCTGTTGCTGTGGCCCACTAATGGTGTGAAATTCAAACAAATTCTTTGAAAAGATGTTTGACACATTTTGAATTCTAGGTGGGAAAATGCAATTTTTTTTTTTTTTTTTTTTTTTTTTGTCTGATTACTACTTATAAAGGATAAGTGCCCTCCTACCTCTCCAGTTGCAAACGTGCCTTTTAACTGAGAATCCTCATTTACATCCTGTGCTGAATGAGTTCCGTGTGCTTGCTGTACCTATGCAGTAGCTCTCCAATAGCCTCTTTGCAGATGTGTCCTGAGGCTAGAAACTCTCAGGCACATGATGTAAACAGCAGAGGCAGCAGCTGATGGATTGTGGGAAGTATACAAATGGGGAGAGTGGACTAGATGAGGTCAGTGGTGAGGTGCAAAGAGGATAAATGCACTTTCTTTTCAAGATCATACTTTAAATCTTACAATGTGCCTCCAAGGCTACCAATGTTTGGTTCTACATCGCCTAAGGCCCCATTTGGACACTTGGTTGGGGGGTGGTAAAAATGTGTAGTTGAGTCCCCTTAAGCTGCAATAGGCAGCGAACAGAGATGTTTAGATTGTAAGATCTAAGGAGCAGGGCCCTCTGTTTTCTCTTCTACCGAATTGTATTGTACCTGTAATGTTTACCTTCATTTTGTAAGGTGCTGCGCAAACTGTTGGCGCTATATAAATCCTGTATGATAACTGTGGTCACAATGCTTGGCTTCCTGCCCTTCACAAAAACAACCCAGTATGTAGTGATCAGTGGGCGGAAAACACACTGAGCACCACCCATTCCGGCGAACAGGGAAGCCCCATAAACACCCTGCAACCACATGCATTGCATGCGGTTGCATCATGTTTGCTGGCCAAAATGGGGTTAAAATGGGCAGTGAGGAGGCATCGCATTGCTTCCTCACTGCCTGTCAGTCATCTCTGGAAAGTGATATGGATCGCACTTCAGAGGTGAGGTAGATTTAGACACATGTCTAAATGTATCCTAACTGTACAGGCAAAAGATTTTTCCATAAATGTGATAAGCATACATGTCAAGCATATAAAAAAGGCCTCTGTCACCAGCTCACTTCCAGGGTAAATGGCAGAAGTCGTACAGGAAAATCTAACACCATTGATTCTCTTTTCCCCAGAGTAGGATCAGCTGAGTTAGAGGTCAGGGATTGCCTACAGGCATTTGCTGGATTTCTTCTCACTATAATCGACTACATTAGGTACAGATCTTTTAGTCCTGTAGGCACCTTTAGAAACCCATTGAAAAGCAAGAACTGGGTTTCTAAAAAATCCATTAGTAAATGCTATACTGTGGGTGTCTGGCCAGCTTTTACTTTTTACATGTGTGTATTGAGTGGTAACATTGGGCATATTAATATACTGCAGTTTGCTAATAATTTGAATGTCCTATTGATCTTCTTTCAATTGCCTTTGCAGGAACATCATTTACAACGAGCTATCTCGGCACAACAGGTTTTTAGAGAAAAGAAAGAAAGCATGGTTATTCCCGTTCCTGAGGCTGAGAGCAATGTCCACTACTACAGTCGCCTGTACAAAGGAGAATTTAAACAGCCCAAGCAGTTCATTCACATTCAACGTAAGTTTGTGCATTAGACCGCTGGCGTGTCCTCCTTGTCAAGATTCCAGTTATCACACAGGCTGCATCTGTTGCTTCAACTGGACAAACCACCTGCTCTTTCCTACAGGAAGCCAACGTTCAACACTCTCTAAACGTTCCCTGTTTATCAGCGCTCCTCTAGTCTAGTCTTTTTGATCATACGTCGTAGTATCCTCGATTTCCCTGAAATGTCTCCCCCTTTTTTTTTTTTTTTTTTTTCAAATTCCGGACGGGTTATCTGATGAATTTAAACTATTTTTTAATGGATAAAAGATGTCTTATTTCAGTTCCACAATAATTCAGCAGTGATAAAATGCTTTTAAAAAAATCTGCTGTTACATAGTTAAATCTCAGGAGCTGTATGCCACCTCGTTGGATCGCTGCCTGTGGTTTACAATTTTACACTTTCATCTAGCACCTACTATATACTATATACTTCTGGTGGTCAGAAAGCAGACTTGCAGCTCTTCTACACAGCAGCTATCCTATCTGACCCTCCTCTCTCCTGTCCATTCACTGAATGTTTTTGTATATTGTGCATGGGTTCACGGAATTCAAAGTATTCTGTGAATTGATGAGAGGAGGGCCAGACAAATGATGGGATAGCCGCTGTGTAGGAGAGCCGCTGTAGTGGCTGCACTGTTGGAGAAGCACATAAATGTCCTAGAGCATTGTTTAATGGGATGCAGACAGAGGCATGCTTGTAATTCACTTCCAGTCAGCTGCGCTATATTTATGCATTTCAAGGAAGCTTTTCTCAACGGACCAATGCAAAATGCCCTGGCGGTCTAAGGTGCCTATCTAGAAGTGTTTTTTTGTTTTTGTGGTGGTGTGTGGGTTTTTGTTTTTTTTTTTTTTTTTCTTTAGCATCACTTTTAGGCCTAGGTATTTTATCCCTAGCAATGTTGAGGATGCTCATCTACTAATACCAGACCAGTATTCTGCCAGACTGGGAAACCTATAGTTTTTACAAATGTATTTTTTATTTATGGATCTGAACCCAGCTGCACTGGTTTCAATGGAGACCTTCACCCAGGTGCATAAACATGCACTATGTTAAGATCCAAGAAACAAAATCCAATGCCAGATGCAAGTATTGGAGGGAAAAGAAAAGATTTTTCTAAATTCATTATTCACTCCCTTTTCAAATAAATAAAATATATATATAATCTCTTTTAACACAATGTGCAATGAAACTTGGCCAGAGAACATTGTGGCCTATTTAGCCCCTGGGTTACACAAATACTGCATGTCTCAAAAAAATTTTAAACAGCTGAAAATCCAGTAAAATGTTAATATTCTACTATAAAATAAAAGTCACTTGTCTTCAATGGAGTGAACTAAAGAAAGGTATGTTAGAGCCTATTTACTGTTCATTAAGCAGAAACATTTGTGGTAGAAAAAACGTGTGCAATAGGATAAGTAAAATTTTTACACCAATGTAAATGTAGCCTTCGTGTTTCTCTATGCAAACTAGTAATAGAATAGTCTTAATATTATAGTTTTGTTATATCAAACAGTTATAAATATTACATAATCTGTGAATAAAATCTACTCAAAAAAAATGAAAAAGTAACACTTTTTAATCAGAGTATAGCATAAAGTCAATTAAATCTGGTGGGTTAAGTAGCAGAGGGGGTTGTTAATCAGTTTCAGCTGCTTTGTAGTTAATTAAAAAATTAGATGGGCAACCGTGAGACAACCCCCAAAACAGGAATGGTTTTACGGGTGGGAGGCCACTGACGTTTTTCCCTACTTCTCTTTTCTGAAATTTATTTATTTTTTTTGCACTTTTCTGACTTTTATTGTATTCAATATACAGATTCTAAATGCTTGTTGAGCAAGTATAATACTGTGAGTACAAAACTTGGAATACTTTGCTTACTTTTGAATACAATAAAAGGTAATACACTATGGGAAGCTCTACCTATGTTTTTTACTGAGATATTGGCTCACACCCTACCTCTATACCTGGAGAGGATATCGCCACCAATATGCTCCATCCCTGAGAGGGAGATCATTGCGGGGAGAGGTACGCAGTAACAGAGGAAGCATATACATGGAGGATCCAGTTTTGTGATCCTAAAAGTGTTTTGACCCCTGCGGGTCGAAGCAAAGAGGTGAGCAGCTAATTCAGCTACTTACGGATACCTTTCTGTGGTTACCCACATTCACCATCCACAGTCACGAGTGTCTTTTTTGGATTTCTTGGTGGTGTTAGCACCAGTTTGGACTTTTTCACATTTTGTGTTGTCATGCGTTTATGTTGCATGTTCATATCCTATAAAGTCACACTAACATTTTCACTTTTGCATTTATCCATTCATCATTTTTTGTTCATCTGATATTTGATTTTATATACTTTTTGTCTGGAAACATGATTTAGTGTTTGGGGTGGATTATTTTCCTTATGTAGTGTTTACGCACATTTGGTTTTGCAGAGATATTCACTTGCATGTTTATGCGGTTTTCCTTGATTTGAGTCCTAATTTCTGGACAAATCCCTTATCAGTCCCAGTGTGGACTAGTTTATTTTTTAATTTTACTATCCACCAGCACTCTAGATCCCACTTAGGATCTATTCACTTCTGTACCATACTTGTAAGTATTGGCTCACATGTTTCTGATGTTTCTGTTATTACCATCAATGTGGTGGTTTACCATTCACTTTGCCCACTTCTGGGTCCGTTGAGGATCAGGTCACTGTCAGACATTTGAAGATCCCATGTGGATCAGGTCACCTTTATGTTATTTGCACTTTGTGTCTGTTTATGTATGGTTTTCACATTTATTTATATTATGCATTTATTGGTTCAGGATATGTGATTTATTGCTTTTGAGTAGCGCTACATCATTTTTTTTTTCCCGCATCTTATTTTGATACCTGGACCCTACAGAGGTTGCACAGGATGGCACATCAATACGTGCCATTGCCGGAAGGTTTGCTGTGTCTCCCAGCACAGTCATGAGCATGGAGGAAATTGGAAGAGACAGGCAGTTACTCTAGGAGAGCTGGACAGGGCCGTAGGTCCTTAACCCATCAGCAGGACCGATATCTGCTCCTTTGTGCAAGGAGGAACAGGATGAGTACTGCCAGAGCTCTACAAAATGAACCCCAGCAGGTCACTGGTGTGAATGTTTCTGACCAAACAATCAGAAACAGACTTCATGAGGGTGGCCTGAGTGCCCAACGTCCTCTAGTGGGCCCTGTGCTCACTGCCCGGCACCATAGAGCTAAATTAGCATTTGCCATTGAACACCAGAATTGGCAGGTCTGCCACTGGCACTCTGTGCTTTTCACAGATGAGAACAGGTTCACCCTGAGCACATGTGACAGACGTGAAAGGGTCTAGAGAAGCCATTGAGAACGTTATGCTGATCATAAACCTAGTGCAGCGCTAAATAAATGCCAGTATAATGTCTAAGTTAGACTATAAGTGACCAACCAATCATAAATATAAAATTGAATATACAATATTGTGTCTGGAATTAACCATTCAGATGGTGGTAGTTATCCCCACTGGTGAACGATGGACAAATTCTATATATCTCCCCGTGTGCATAAATCTGGAAATCCGGTGACGTGCGATCAAAATGGGTATGGAAAGTTTGCCCACTCACCGGATGCGCAATCTTAATGCGCAAAGATAAGATAAACCAGGAGCGGGGGGTTCCCTTGACGGTACAGCCTGGAGCAGGATCCTCTCCTCTGCAGATACAGGTAATAGAGATATCCCTCCTAAACTCCCTGGAACGGGTAAACTGTAGTGGGGTCTGGTCACTGGTTCCCTCTAATCCTGGTGGTGCACCTGGGGTCCTATACATCTCTGCCGGTCCTAGACATAGTCCTGACCCCAAATACAGTATATTGCTTCTGAACCAGCATCTCAGTTGGATGTACACAGGTGGAATACAATAGGGATATCTACGCAGGATTTTGCTGGCCAACAGATCTTGTCTTGGCTCTGGCACAGGATGGTCCCAGCAGCCCCCTGGGATCCAGCAGGAAGGGCAGGCTTGAGCTCTGTGGCTGTGATGAGCAGGCAGGAAGGTGTATGGAGGCAGGTAATGCATGCACACCAGCTACACCCCATGTTACCATATTACTGCTGCTGGGGCTGCTGGGACCATCCTGTGCCAGAGCCAAGACAGGATCTGTTTGCCAGCAAAATCCTGCGTAGATATCCCTATTGTATTCCACCTGTGTACATCCAACTGAGATGCTGGTTCAGAAGCGATATACTGTATTTGGGGTCAGGACTATGTCTAGGACCGGCAGAGATGTATAGGACCCCAGGTGCACCACCAGGATTAGAGGAGGGAACCAGTGACCAGGCCCCACTACAGTTTACCCGTTCCAGGGCGTTTAGGAGGGATATCTCTATTACCTGTATCTGCAGAGGAGAGGATCCTGCTCCAGGCTGTACCGTCAAGGGAACCCCCCGATCCTGGTTTATCTTATCTTTGTGCATTAAGATTGCACTTCCGGTGAGTGGGCATCTTTCCATATCCATTTTGATCGCACGTCACCGGATTTCCAGATTTATGCACACGGGGAGATATATAGAATCTGTCCATCGTTCACCAGTGGGGATAACTACCACCATCTGGTTAATTCCGGACACAATATTGTATATTGAATTTATATTTATGATTGGTTGGTCACTTTTATATTCTAACTTAGACATTATATCGGCATTTACTTGTTTAGCTCTACACTACGTTTTATGATCTGTTTATTTGAGAAAGTTTGTGGTTACTTTTTTGGTGCATCAGCTGCTACAGTAAGCGCTCGCTTCATATTCTTGGTTTTTAGAACGTTATGCTGCCTCTAACATTCAGCATGACCGTTTTGGTGGTGGTTCAGTGATGGCCTAGGGAGGCATATCCATGGAGGGACACACAGACCTCTACAGGATAGACAATCGCACCCTGACTGCCGTTAGGTATCGGAATGAAATCCTTGGTCCCATTGTCAGATCCTACACTGGTGCAGTGGGTCCTGGGTTCCTCCTGGTGCACGACAATGCCCGGCCTCATGTGGTGAGAGTATGCAGGCAGTTCCTGGAGGATGAAGGAATTGATCCCAATAAATGGCCCCCACGCTCGCCTGACCTAAATCCAATAGCACACCTCTGGGATATCCTGTTTCGGTCCATCCGACGCACCAGGTTGCACCTCAGACTGTCCAGGAGCTCAATGATGCCCTGGTCCAGATCTGGGAGGAAATACCCTAGGACACCATTTGTTGTCTCATTAGGAGCACCCCCCGATGTTGTCAGGCATGTCTACAAGCACATGGGCGCCATACAGACTACGGAGTATTATTTTGAATTGCTGCAATTAAATTTCATCAAAATGGACTAGCCTGCTGCATCATTTTTTTCACTTTGATTTTCCGGGTGTCTTTGAACTCAGTCCTCTGATGGAAATGAAAATCAACCCACAAACGATGGGGCATCCTTACTTTCCTAACACATTACCCAGTCCATATCAGTATAGATATCCAGCATGAAATTGTTCCCCATTGAGATCCGATGTGTTTTCAAAGTGTTCCTTTCATTTTTTTGAGCAGTGTATTTAAAGTGTTACTAAACCCACAACAGTAAAATCAGTCTGTATATGCAGTAAAGCATGCTTGTTATACTCTCTGTGGAACCGAAGGGGTTCAGACAGAGGGACAGGGATTGTGAGACCTCATAGGGCAGTCAAAGGAGAATGAAAACTCCTCCTACAAGCTTTAACCAGTGCTCAACTGGACACTGATATAAGTCACATAATTGCTATATACTGCTGATGAGAAAAGGTATTTAGTTTATATTTACTAAAATAATTGCATTTCCATGTTGTGTGTACTGTGGGAGACCAGATATGAGTGCAGGGTCCTGGGTTTAGTAACACTTTAATTATTTGCCTATCCATGTTAAATTGTATTTTGCACTTAGCGCCTTACTGATGAATTCATATTATTTGTTGTCTTTTATAGCATTTAATCTGGACAATGAGCAGCCAGATTATGATATGGACTCTGAAGATGAGACATTGATTAATCGGCTCAACAGGAAAATGGAACTTAAACCACTGCAGTTTGAAATTATGATTGATCGGCTGGAAAAGGCAAGCTCCAACCAGGTATGTGTGTTTTCTTAGTGCATGGTATTGATTAGGACAATATGGCTTTGTCTTTTGTTGGAATTTCCAAGGCTGGACAAATCCCATTAGTCAGGCAAGACCCAAATAAATACAGCTGATACTAAGACACCTCAGGGTGTCCTGACAGTGTTGTTTTGTGGTAACGCTTAGTTCAATGAACAACAGCACACAGTAACCCACCATCCTTTGCTTTGGGATGCCATTTATTTAGAATTCCTGATACAGCCAAGGTCACACATACTGGATACTAGTCGTCATATACTGCAGAGCCAGTTTTCATCATGACAGACCTTGTCTTGTAGTAAAGTATGGTGCTTTTTTTTTTTTTTTTTGTCCAAATAAAAGCCTGTCAACTTTTCTTGATAATATACCCTTTTTTGGGAGAAATAAAAATTCTTATCTGGACCAGTCATTATGGCTCGACCCTTTCATCTTTATGGCTCAGTACAAGCCTTTACTGCATTTTGGCATACACCTCTTCCATTAAAATCTTATGAACTAAAAAATGTTCATAATCGGTCAACCTATTTATGAAAGAACCTGCACCTCGTAGTAAATATATGTTTGTTTAGTAACCAGGTGATTTGGTGTATTGCAGCTTGTCACTCTTCAGGAAGCAAAATTGCTGCTAAATGAGGATGATTACCTTATCAAATCTGTGTATGACTACTGGGTAAGAAAGCGGAAAAACTGCAGGGGGCCCTCCCTCATTCCCCAAATCAAACAAGAGAAACGTGACGGATCTACTAACAACGATCCGTATGTCGCATTCCGGCGTAGAACTGAGAAGATGCAAACGCGAAAGGTAATTGCTTGATCTCTAATTAAAATGTTTTACATTAGATCTTGCCTAAGTTTTTATTTTATTTTAAAGATGGACTAGGCTAAATGGTTGTGTGTGATTAACTGAAAATTAAACTTATTCCCTTTAAAAATACAACTGACTTCCAGTTGTGAAAAAAAAAAAAAAAAAATAAAGGCATTCATGCCAAAAAGACCTCTCCTCTTTCCCCAAGTAGTTTATTTTTTGTACATCCTTGACATATTCCCAGCTTCTGTAAACTGGGACAATGAGCGCTGGTTACATAATCAGTGGCTGCCCAGGGCCTGAAGACACTAGACCTGGAAAATGACAAGCTGAAGTTGTCATTGGCTGATGTTGATTTGCTAGAAGAAGGCACACTAGAGGATAAGTGTACATGCGTATTGAGTCAACAGCCCATCCACCCCAAAAGCAGAAAAGTTCAACTTTGAAGTATATTTCCATTATTTCAGTCAGATTTAAGAAAATTCCACTATTTTCCATTATATTGTTGATTTTGTTAGTTTTTGTTCAATGTTAGTGCAATGATCTTCCTCCGCTGTAAATGGGATTTTTTTTTCTGGCTTTATGTCCGTTTTTATAAATCATTTTTTATTTTCTTTATTGCTGTTTAAAAAAATATTTACAAATGACCATTTAAAATGATACATCCATGACACTTGAATCAGAAAATCCAGAGCTGCCTGCATGCTTGATAGCAGCATGTCTGTAACTGTCAGAAGATGCCTATTCTGCTAGGACAGAGGAGACCAAATCTGCACTACATGTAACCTATTTTCTAGTATTTGTCTATTTTGCAAGTTAAAGTTGTACATTAGCCTCTGGACAGCTAATTTCCCTTGTTTTGAGTCGCCACCTACTGGCATATTTCTTTATCTGCAATTAGTATCTGTAAATGAAATCACAAATCACTTTTTTTTTTTTTTTCCCTGAATACAGTAATATCTTATGCGTTCATCGATTTGATAGGTTTCTCTCAGAATGCCTATAGATGTGAAGTTAGCTTTTGTCCCGTTTTACAGTTTATTTTTTCAAATTAAATCCTGTGTGTTTTACATAAGGACCAATAAGCTTCAGACTGAACAGAGAAATACCTTAACTGTCAAGGATTGTGGAGAGACAGATGTTGATTTCAGCTTCTTTGTAACTGATATGAAAATGTACAGAAGACCAATGGTTAGGAGAGGGATGAGGGAATACACGATGACGATTTATTTATTTACTGCTCAGTGAATAGATTCAACCATCGTTTTTGCAGTTTCTCAAACTATGACTTAGAACAGTTATGAACCCATACAGTATTTCATGAAATGAATTCCTAATATTTCATTTTAAATATGCCTTTTCCTGAAACTTCTCTAGAATCGTAAGAATGATGAAGCATCTTACGAGAAGATGTTGAAGTTACGAAGGGAGTTTAGCCGAGCCATAACCATTTTAGAAATGATCAAACGAAGAGAAAAGACGAAACGGGAATTACTGCATTTAACGTTGGAAGTAGTGGAGAAGAGGTGAGATACATGTGTGGTTTTCTATCAATAAAAGGCTTTAGGTTTGCTAGAAGTGTACGTTTTTCTTGGTTATGGGTAAGATAATAGAGGACCATTCTAATGTACCTGTCAAACAATGATCATTTATTAACAAATGTCATTACTGAACAAACAAATAGTAAAATCAGTCTGTATGTGCAGCAAAGCATGCTTGTGATCATTGTTGAACCTAAGGGGTTAATCCATTATGTAAAAAGGATGTTTGATCCTCCTCTTCTTCCACAGTCCCCAATCCATCTGCTGCTAGTACAGATCTCTAGGAGGCACTCTGCACATGCTCGGTCTGCTGTGTATTGCTAGAGGTTTTTTTTTTTTTTTTGGAAAGGGTGCATGTGATCAGCACAGGGCCAATCCGCACTGTCCAGACAGAGGGCCAGGGTAATGCAGCCTCATAGCACTGTCAGAGGAAAATTAAAAAACTCCTCCTACAAGCTTTAACCTGTGCTTGTCTGGACACTGATAAAATTCACAAGATTGCTATATACTGCTGATGAGAAAAAGGTATTTAGCAGTTTATATTTACTAAAATAATTGCATTTCCATGTTCTGTGTAATGTGGGAGACCAGATATAGTGAATGCAGGGTCTTGGGTGTAGTAACACTTTAACATCAGACCTATATTGTAAAATGTCATTTTGTAGAAGTGCTTGTGCAGCATTATAGTAATGAGTATTAAAATTTGACTTTCTTTAATCTGTACACATTCACTTTCTGCCAGATGATTGTGGCATGCTAGAATGAGAGGGGGCTTGGACATCACTGTTAGGCATGTCTAGGGAAACTGATGGTAATACAGAGATTGTTTGTTTTTATTTTGGTGTGAAGAAGTCTTGGCCTGGCTTTAGTTAGCAAAGGCCTCTGTTTCAGAGAAGAACATTGGCAAAAGTATAGGCTATGCTGTAGTGGTGTGAGTGAAATTTGTCAGAAAAGGAGGACCCAGGCAGGGAAGGACTCTGTTATCTGGATAAATAAAGTTACCATCCTTTGAAACTGTTCTGACAGCTGCAGGGTTTCTCTTCTTGAATTGATTAGGGTACACATTGTTCTTTTTGAACAACATAAAGTAAGAATGACATTTTATTACCTTTTTTACTTCAGTGCCTTGGACAGGGTTCTAGATATGCATTGTAACCAGCCATGCACATGTCCCTAAGCTTGGGCTCTGTTCTGTTTTAAAAACCTTTCTTTAAAACACTTTTTTTACTCCTTTCTCATAAAGGTACAATTTGGGTGACTTTGGTGGTGAAATATTGAATGAAATTAAAATTCCGAAAATTGAGAAGGAAGCTCATCCCATTCCGACATTACTACACAATGGGAACCATCACAGAGTTCCAGAATGCAAAGCAAAGGTATTGTATAAAATGGTACTTTGGAGCCTTCCTTATTCTAAGAATGTGGGGAAATCTGGATTTTGGTAAAATTTGTTAACCCTTTGATTGCCCCAGATGTTAACCCATTCCTAACCAGTGTCAGTACAGTGTCAGTGTTTTTTATTGGCATTGATCACTGTATTCGTGTTGCTGGGGATGTCAGTGGCAGTCAGTCCCCCCCCCCCAGTGTCAGAATACCCCGCAGCAGTCCCGCTATAAGTCGCTGATCGCCACCACTACTAGTAAAAAAAACCAAAAACATAATAATTCCAGTATGTATACTGCCATTTGTAGCTCTAACATTGACATAAACCAATTAATTTACACGTATTGTGAATTTCTTTTTTTTTTTTTTTTTTTTTTTTTTTAGCAAAAACGTGTAGCAGAATACATTTTGACCTAAAATTTTGTGAAGATGTTTATGTATTTTTTTTTTTTTTTTTTTTTTATTACTGGATGTTTTATAGCAAACATTAATTTTTTTTTTTTTCTTCATTATTTTTACAGAACAAAAAATAAAAAGCACACAAGTGATCAAATCCCACTGAAAGCTCAATTTATGGGCAAAAAAAGGACAAATTTCATTTATGTACAACGTTGCATGACTGCGCAATTGTCAGTTAAAATAACGCAGTGCCGTATCACAAAAAATGGCCTGGTCAGGAAGGGGGGGTAAATCTTCTGGAGGGCAAGTGGTATTAAACCCAAAAGCAAACATTATATTGCTGCTTACCAATTCTTAGATGTGATGGCTGCAGGATTTTAAGCTGACTTTTTTTTTTCACACACTATTGCAGAGGTTGGTATAGGCAGGAGAATTGCATTTTCAATGTCTCTTGTTTTCAGGGGTCACTTTATTTTATATACGGTAGTTTAATTACAATATTGTCTTTTTGTCTTTTTTTTTTTTTAATTATACTAATTGTCTAGTTCCCTGGTGCGCAGCCAGCTACCCTTGGGGCCTCTGCAGACTGTTGTCTGTGATTCCCTTACATAGGTGCTTACGCGGGCCAGTGATGGAAAAATTTTCTTCAGATTGTATTGTAGTTAAAAGTTTTTTATTTCATTGTTACATTCTTTGTTTTGTTTGTTTTTTTTTTTGGACTGTTAATCCCTTTTTACATTTATTTATTTTTGATCTCTTGAGAGAGGTCTGCAGTCTCTTGTAGTATGCACCTAGTTTTTTTGACCATCTTCTGTTACACGTCTGCAGTCACTGAAAGCTTTCCATAGCTTTTACTGTGCGGGGCCTTGGTGAGGTACTTTCTAAGTAATAGTATTTGTGTGTGTTGCAGAATATTCATCACTCATCTGTCAAAGAAGAAACTTTGGATATTGTTCGGCTAAAAAAGAAGTACCCAAAGAAGCCAAAAGCAGATTCAGTTGTGACCCCTCTGCCCCAGCCCGCCTCAGAGCCATTGCCAGTAATTAACAAGAGTGATATCAAACAATATGACTTCCACAGCTCTGACGATGAAGAGTTTCCACAGGTTTGTTTTGCAGCTGAAATATCAAGGGACCACCGGGGTCTCAGAAGAGGAGTACCATTTAATAAAGCCTTGTTTATTATCTCCAGGTACCTTCTCCGGTGTCTGAGCTGGAGGAAGATAATGACCCCGATGGCCCCTATGCCTTCAGGAGAAGAACTGGATGCCAGTATTATGCCGTAAGACTAAAAATTGTGCTGTTTTGTTCAGTATTTCCCATGTGAACACAATGCTTGGGTGCACATAGGTTTCATTCTTAAAACGTTTGTCTGTTGGCTACATTTAGACACTGCTGGCTATGTTGGTTTCCTAGCTTGGGCTCTTGTATATTAAAACTATTTAACTTCTTGGACTGTGTGCAATTTGTTTATTGTCTGTTTTGGTTTATCTTGTGTAGGAATTTGTCTCTATTTTCTCAATACTATTTCAGTGATTTACACTTTTAGTTGGTAGCTTTGCCCCTCTGCATCCCTCTCACTCCTTAGAACAGGGCTGTCCAACCTACGACCCAAGGGCTGCACGTACCCAAAGACCCCAATGAATGCGGCCCAACACAGAATCGTAAATTTGCTTAATGTGTGGTTTTGGGTGTTTTTTTATTTTTGTTGTTTTTTTTTGCTTTTATAAAAATGCGTTTAAACTTGGCGTACATGTGCAGCCAAAGAAAAATTTGACAGTGTCTCTTTACTGGACTCTTTAAAAGTTTTATCTTCCCAAAGAAAAATATTCCACTCTTTGCAATCGTGCCTTTTTATTCATATCCTTAATTATCTACAGCACCTATATTTGTGAGCAACTATTTTCAAGGATTCAAGGATGGAAGCACATAAAGGCACCTTGAAATTCATTGGGCTACTACATCCATCAAACCAGATATTGATGTGGTAATCAAAAGCGATGTCAATATCGCACTAGTTTTCTGTTGCCCTATTTTACAATAAAAAATTCATTCCAAAAAAATGAAGTTTTATTACTCTGGTACATTATCTATATCCATGATCCTATCTTGTGATTTGGCCGACTTTCTGCTCATTCGCTGTCCGTATTGTTAGTGTATTTTGTGTGTGGCCCAAGAAAATTATTATTCTTCCAAAGTTGTCCAGGAAAGCCAAAAGGTGGACACCCCTGTTTTTAGAAATGTTAAAAGTTGCATGACAATTGTTACATAGGGATTCCAATGTGTGCTTTACCACCTGCTCTCAATAAAATAATGGAATCCCTGTCCACTCAATAGCGAGACTGGAATGTAAAGTTCTTCCTGTTTGAATTAAAGGTACCCATAGACTTGAGATAGCGGTCATAGGATTCAGCCACTGAATTTGCATCCTCCACCCCCTCCTTCCCCTGATTGTGGCATAAACATGTATACTCATATTGGCAAGGTGTCTATTTTTGTACTTGGCAAAGAAGCCTGATACCACAATGTTAAAATAATGAAGATTATCTTGAACAATCCATACTGGGGAATGAGGTATACACAAAAAGTTGAAGTGTGATCATAGACGTTGGATTATTTCCTGATCCAGCTGGAATGACCTGCTCTTTGTTTGTGGGTACCGTGTTAACCATCAGAGTAATGTCAGCATTGTCATAAACACAGTCTGCAATTTTGTAGGATAGAATTGGGGAAATAGGGGGTGGAACGAAGAATAACATTCGGAGATATTAGGTTTTTGTGTGCTTAAGTGGAAAAGGGTCCTGTTAGACCGAGCAAGATAGAAATATTTTTCATTTTGACCATGAAGTGCAACTTCAGCATTTCTAAAAAGAAGTGTTTGTGATTTATAGCCTCGATTGGACCAAATGGACGATACTTCAGAAAACACAGATCAGTCAGCATTGGCTAGACTTCGGTATAGGCATTGCCTCACTACTCTCACGATCCCTCGAAGATGTATAGGGTTCGCAAGGAGACGGTTTGGCCGAGGTGGAAGGTACATCATTTCACATTTTACTTTTTTTTTTTTTTTTTTTTTTCAATACCGTGCATGTTTATTTTTAGGTTTTATTTTGCCAACACTGTTGTGGGGTTTTTTTTTTTTTTTTTTTTTTTTTTTTTTATGCTTTAATTAAACAATATTAAGAAACCTTATTTGCTGGTTTCATTATATTTTTAACATAATTTTGGTGGTTTCCTTTCAGTGATGACAGACCATATAGTAATCATTGGTTTTTGCTCCCCTCTGACTACAGGGTTATAATGGACCGACTATCCACACCCCACGACCCCATCCTAAAGCAGCTGGACCCTGAAATGTTGTCTAGTTCTTCAAGCTCTTCCCAAGTTGCACAGCCCCCTCCCGATAACTCACGGACCAATGCTTCCGATAGACATTGTGAAAACAGACTGTCTCTATCTGAGATCCTAAGCAATATTAGGTCGTGTCGACTGCAGTGTTTCCAGCCAAGGCGAATACCTTTTCCAGACAATGATAGTGAAGAATGTACCTCAAGGATAGTAGGACATGCTGTGAGCATTAAACGAGCCACTTTACTGAACACCAGCAAGAATGGACTGACAGGTACAGCTGTGTCTGAGTGTTTGCTAGTACTTGGGATGTCTGTATCATGGACTGTGCTGTACAATGGTCCCTACAGGTGCATTTAGCCATCTATATTTTTAATAGTTTGCAATGATTCATTACATCGAACTGTGCAATTAAATGGGGAGCAGAATGTTTCACCCTCCTAAAAAAATAATCAGTGTGGTCATGTAATTTTATTAAATGCTCACTTTAGAATTGGAACACTTTTTATTCTAATGTGATCAGAATTGCGATCAAAGAAAATTATTTTTTTTCTTTTTTATTAACTAGGCTTATAGTAACATATTAATAAAAAATAAAACCGTGAAAAGTAAATATATTCACTTTCGGGCGCACTCACCAGAACACAATTGACCTCCACTTATACATTGCTCAAAAAAATTAAAGGAACACTTTGAAAACACATCAGATCTCAATGGGGAAAAATCTCCTGCTGTATATCTATACTGATATGGACTGGGTAATGTGTTAGGAACGTAAGAATGCCCCACCGTTTCAATTCAGTCCTCTGTAGGCTGATAATCTTCATTTCCATCAAAGTCGAAATCTAAGTGAAAAAATGATGCAGCAGGCTAGTTCATTTTGCTGAAATTTCATTGCAGCAACTCAAAATGGTACTCTGTAGTTTGTATGGCCCCCATGTGCTTGTATGCATGCCTGACAACACTGGGTCATGCTCCTAATGAGACGACTGATGGTGTCCTGGGGTATTTCCTCCCAGATCTGGACCAGAGCATCACTGAGCTCCTGGACAGTCTGAGGTGCAACCTGGAGGCATCGGATGGACTGAGATGTGACATCCCAGAGGTGTTCAATTGGATTTAGGTCAGGCGAGCGTGGGGGACCATTCAATCCATCCTCCAAGAACTGCCTGCATACTCTCGCTACATGAGGCCGGGCATTGTCGTACACCAGGAGGAACCCAGGACCCACTGCACCAGCGTAGGGTCTGATATTGGGTCCAAGGATTTCATCCTGATACCTAATGGCAGTCAGGGTGCCATTGTCTAGCCTGTAGAGGTCTGTGCGTCCCTCCATGGATATACCTCTCCAGACTATTGCTGACCCACCACCAAAACGGTCATGCTGAATGATGTTGCAGGCAGCATAACGTTCCCCAGACCCTTTCATGTCTGTCACATGTGCTCAGGGTCAACCTTCTGTCATCTGTGAAAAGCACAGGGCACCAGTGGTGGACCTGCCAATTCTGTTTTTTAGTGGCAAATGCCAATCGAGCTCTTTGGTGCTGGGCAGTGAGCACAGGGCCCACTAGAGGATGTCAGGCCCTCAGGCCCCCCTCATGAAGTCTGTTTCTTATTGGTCAGAGACGTTCACACCAGTGGCCTGCTGGAGGTAATTTTGTAGGGCTCTGGCAGTGCTCATCCTGTTCCTCCTTGCACAAAGGAGCAGATATCTGTCCTGCTGATGGGTTAAGGACCTTCTATGGCCCTGTCCAGCTCTCCTAGAGTAACTGCCTGTCTCCTCCATACTCTTGAGACTGTGCTTGGAGACATCGCAAACCTTCTGGCAATGGCACATATTGATGTGTCATCCTGGAGGAGTGGACATCCTGTGCAACCTCTGTAGGGTCCAGGTATCGCCTCATGCTACCAGTAGTGACACTGACCCTAGCCAAATGCAAAACTAGTGAAAAAACCGTCAGAAAAAATGAGTAGGGGAAACATCCATCTGTAAAACCATTCCTGTTTTGGGGGTTGTCTCGTTGTGCACCTGTTGTTTATCAGTTTCAGCTGCTTTGGTGTTAATGCAATTAACAACCCCCTCTGCTAATTTTTTTGAGCAGTGTATAAAGTCAAACATGCAAGTAAATAAGATTTATGCATCAGATCCACTCTGCTTTGTCAAAGAACATTTTTTTGGGATTGGTAACAGATGCTGGAAACCTGCATTCTGCTACATCCAGCCTATACAAGCATGGTATTCCTGTACACCACTTCCTGAGCTCAGGTAATCATTGGCCCGTTACAAAGGAATAAGGACCACAAAAATTGCAATAGTGTAAAACCTGAGGGCTTCACTTCTTAAAAAGAAAAAAAAAAAATGTTATGCATGCAGAGCATGATGTGTAAAATATCAGCAGTGTGTAATATTAAAACACTTTATCAGGGGTCCCTGAGCAAGTAATGTCTGGGCAGTGTGTGTATGTATGTATGTATCTGAAATTGATATTGCTTGAGCAACTGAACCTGAACTTAGGAGTTCAGCTATATATTTTATTATTTTTTGGTTAATCAATGTGGGTATGATTGATCGTGGAATCAATGCCGTCCTTCTATGTGAAGTACAAGGTCCTCAATAGCTGTAATTATTTCTACTAAAAAAAAAAATGCTGGGTACAGGACACCTTTAGAAAATCTCTGCTATTCAGTCCTGTGCTTACAATTCACTAGTGAAATAAAAAAAAAAATGATTATTATTGTCCTCTGATTTTATTTTATTTTTTTCCCTGCTTGAAATTCTCCAGTTACGGGAGGGATCACAGAGGAGCAGTTCCAAACGCATCAACAGCAGTTGGTGCAAATGCAAAGACAGCAGTTGGCTCAGCTACAACAGAAACAGCAGTCCCAGCAATCGTCGCAACAGATACATCCAAAAGCACAGGTACATTTCCATTTACAAGTAGTCTTCCTGCCTAAGGTTGCTGCATACAGGGCTTCTGCTTTGTAAATGATCAAATCTCTGAATGTTTCTCAGATTACCATAACCTGCAAATCATAGTGCTGGCTTCACTCTGGTTGTTTAGCTGTGTGTGTTTTTTTGTTTTTTTTTTTTGTGCTGGTTTTTCAGTGTTATCTGATTGCAAGTCCAAGAACTGCCTGTCACAGGATTTCATGTGAAACTAACATGTCTTGTGCTGCAGTGTTTTGCTAGTGGCAGATGTTGGACATTTTACTGCAGATGTGTTGTCACTCATTTTTCGCTTTCTTCAAAGTCTCTGCCCTTTTTTGAGGCTGCCAAATTGGTGAAATTGCAATGCAGGCAGTATGTACCTCTAATAGGACTTGATGTCTTAATAGTCACACAACAATCAACACTCTTGATGTTGGGTTTAGTGTGGTGAGCAGATGAAGGGGTCAGTACATGTTCTGGGTCATCAGGTGGGCATATTCCTTTAACAGCTCAAAGAAGTTGTTGATGAGCATCCTAGGTAATCACCACCCATCCAACCTCCCTTCCCTCAGTTCCCGTACCCACCAGTCTGATTGCAGCCCAGATTTGTTTCCATATAGGTCCATTCTTATAGGTAGTTAGCTGCGTGCCCAATAGCATTGCCCTAATGTGATATGTGGGTGCAGGTCCCTGAACTCGCCTTGCAGCCATGTGTCCCAGTAGATAACATAGGGATGCATGTAACACCTGTGCATCCCTGGTGCCATTAAGTGGCCCTGCAGAGGGCACACGGCTAATCACCCTTAATCCAAATGCAATTTTGTGGGGAGGAATTCACCTGCATTTTGATATGGACTTGATTGCTTGTTGGACGGAATATCCTCTCACTCCCATCTTCAGAAGGCTGGTTGTAGATTCCCTCCTTATCTTGTTTGCTGGGATATCCTAACACATACACCTCAGCATTGTTCTGCTATAATCTACCACAAATAACGAGACTCCTGTGCTTCAGTGCACTGTCAAAGAATGTATTTCAGCGGTCCCATAGACTAATTGATTTCAAGAGGTGGCACGGGTCTTACCGCCCTCATAGGACTGTGGGTGTCCTCATATCACTAGAAATAACAATAAAGAAAAAAGGGCGCACCGACCTAGTGCATTACCAAAGGCACCATTTATTGAGCATAAAAATATATAAATTGTCTACTCAAACTTTTTTTGTAAAGTACAGCCATATATTTAAGGCAGACTCTGCTATATTCTAAGTCCATGATACCATATCAGTAGTGTGGGAAGTCTCAGTGACATCCAAAATGGCTCTTTTCTTTGTTATAATCTGCCACACACCTGGTTCTGTGACACCATCTTCTTTGCTTATGTCACCGGGACCTGGGCCTCTTCTGAGTTTTTGCAGCCGGTTCACGATGAGTCTCCCATGGCCCTGAAGCCTCCTGGGATGTGGCTAGAGTAGGGGTGGGCAACTGTGGCCCTCCAGCTATTGGTGAACTACAAGTCCCATCATGCCTCTGCCTTTGGGAGTCATGCTTGTAACTGTCAGTTTTGTAATGCCTCATGGGACTTGTAGTTCTACAACAGCTGGAGAGCCACAGTTGCCCACCCCTGGACTAGAGTATCCCAGGTTGCTACGGGGACAGCTGGGGGCTATTTGCTTAGGCGAGAAAGTTGAAAACCCTAGTTAAAAGCAGAAAAAAAAAATTCATATTTACCAAAACAAAAAAAAAACCCTTTTTATATGAAAAAGAGGGTAAAGGTCCACTTAAGGCACTCCCTGCTACAAGATTGTGCCTTAATTAGTAATCTGTGAACGCATACAGTGATAATGATGTCACTGCGAGACTGATGTGCAGTGAATCATTCATATAGTTAGGAGGTCTGGACAGTTGTGCCCAGGCTTCCATAACAGCACCTGCAAGACAGAAGTAATGCACCAAAGCATAGCTGTAGTTGTACTAATGTTTTTTTGTTTTTTTTTTTTTTCCCAGGAGATCATTTTCCTATTAATGCGAAGTTACATTGTATTTTTCCTTTTTCAGGGCTCTGGAAATTCTGACTGCATGTCCAAGACACTGGACTCTGCTAGCGCCCATTTTGCTGCATCTGCTGTGGTCAATTCACCAACGCCAGGCCGCAGTGAATCGACCAAGGATCAGAGTACTGGCCACAGCAACCTAAACGGTGTTGTACAACCTCCAGGAGGTATGTTTTTCTTTTCAGTTTTTTTTGTCATGTTTAAAATACCATTTTAATAGTCTTTACTTCAGTTTAACTTGTTAACAGCTGTGTTCATAGTAAATTGTGTTGAGTTGTTCAGAAACCAATTCTCAGTGTCTGTATAGATTCACAGTTCTTGGGCAGCTATCTGCTTCATTATTTGGAGTTTTGCACACAGGTATGAGAGAGAGAGTTTTCTCATCTTTAGAGTAATATGTAGGGATGGAAATGTGGGAGCTGTCAATATTGATTTGTTTGGGGACTTTGGATTCACTACCTACTATTTGACCTGGAAGCAGCATACCTGAGTTCTGGCTTCACTGGTTACATGCTTGTTCTAAGTAAGAAACCCCCAAGGCAGTAAAACACTATCAGGGTGACGTTCCTGTTCTGTATATGTGTTCTACTTTCACAGGTGCTGTCACTTTGCCCTGTGCCTGTCAAACAAGTCACCAGTGGGGTTATATTATTTTTATATATATATATATAATTTATTTTTACCCAAGATGGTTTTTCAGTTTACCACTATAGAACCTGTAGTTGTGCATCATACTAGCAATCTATGGACGAGGTTGGTGACATAATCAAGAAGAGAAGGTGAAACATGAGAGGAAATCACCATATGAGTCCACATCTAGGCTCTAGGGGGGCCCATTAAACCCAGTGGACTACTGCTGTTGCACAGTCCCACTGGCATTGGAATTTTAAATGACTTTTCATGCCGCACAACATTGCCAGTCAGATGACTTGTTGATGTCAAAAATCTAACTGAAACCTTTGTTTTTTTTTTTTTTTTTTTTTGTTTTTCCACTTCACAGGGAACGCTAAAACTCTGTACTCCACTAATGTGGCGCTATCATCCAGCCCGGGGATCTCCACCGTTCAGCTTGTACGGACAGTCGGACATCCCACCACTAACCACTTAATCCCAACCTTATGCACAAGTACACCCCAGACCCTTCCTATGAGTAATTCCTGCCTAACGAACACCGTTCACCTCAACAACGTCAGTGTTGTGTCACCTGTCAATGTGCATATCAACACAAGGACTTCTGCTCCATCTCCCACAGCCTTAAAACTCGCCACAGTCGCTGCCAGCATGGACCGAGTGCCAAAGGTTACTCCAAGCAGTGCCATCAGCAGCATAGCCAGGTACATGTTAGATCAGTAGCTTAATTCTTTGTTTATGTTAAGGCTTCCTCTTTATTTTCTGTGTCTGTACGATTTAAATGTGTGTGTATCAAAATATTAGTCATTCCATTTAGCCACTTTTTTATAACTGTCATGTTCCTGCCACACTGTTTGGATCAGGGTTTCTCAAACAGGGTTCCTGCAGCTGTCGCTAGGGGTTTCTTGAGCAATGAGCAATTTCTGCCTCATATAAGTTCTTACTGACATCATTGATCTTTTTAGCTATGTGTAAGGAGATAATTCTTCCCAATGGCCGCAATTTTATGGAGCATTATTCCCACTGACCTTCACTGATCTATCATGAGTTGTAGATATATAGTAATTTTTTTAGCAGTAGTTCCCTGAGACCGGAAATTATTTCATGGATTCCCAATCTTTCCCATAGACAGCCTGTTCCCAGTTTTGAGCTGTGTAGCTTTGTTTGTCACCTTTTTCAGTTACTGCCTGCTCTTAGGACTATAGACAGTTCCTTTCCTGTCCCTCCTGTAAATTTTGCCATCTCAGCCACCCAATCCCTGTTCACTCTGTTAGCATTGCTACTTGCATCCTGATTTCTGGCCTGCGTGGGACAGGGAGAAATAAGTGTGACCCTATCACTTGTAAAAGCATGGGCTACGAAAACTGTTGTGTACTTGCCTTTCTGGCATCCACTGACTGCAAATGCTGCCACTTTGCTGCTCTCTGGCCACTGCAGGTGTTGGATACTTCCGGGTATGTCAAATACCTGCTCTTCCAGCTGCGCTTCCCATTTTATTTAGTTTTTACAGTCTGTAGATATTATACAGGATTTATATAGTGCCAACAGTTTGCACAGCGCTTTACAAAATGAAGGCAGACATTACAATTACAATACAATTGGTTGATACAAGAGGAATCTGAGAGCCCTGCTTACAATCTAAGAATTTTTTGTTTCAAGCTGATCTTCATGCTTTAGTGAACTTTAGTTTGAGCCAAGCTGGTCCAAACAAACCATTTACTTCACTAACAGATGCAGCAGCTGTGTGCACTGTAGAAACTGTATGCAGCCTCAATACAGTATACAGCACTGTGTCCCACCAGCAGGCTAGGAACTTCATGTCCTGCTCCATACACAAAATCAGAGCTTCATGTAGATGGCTGTGCAGTGCTCAGCCTGACTTGACTTTGTTCTGGGAGTGAAATGAGAGGTTCTTACAGCTACAGCCTCAGTTACATACAGCGCTCACAGGTACTGCATCTGCTCGTGAAGTAAATAGTTAGTTTGGACCAGGTTGGTCCAAACAAACTATATAAACTTCACTGAAACCTGGAAATCAGCGTTAAGGAAGACTGGGGTCCTCGTCAGGAAAACAAACGGGGAGATTTACTAAAACTGGTGCAGCCGTGTATAGTAACCAATCAGCTTCTAATGCAGGCCATAGGCGGGCCGTTTATCGGCTGAATTGTCGGCCGATAAACGAAAAATCGGTTGGCCCCGTTGCTGATGCTGCCACCAATGTGGCCGTTTTGCGAGGATTTTTCCAGCATGACCGATAAAAATAAACGAGAAGATCCAAAAAAATGGCCGATGGGCTGGCCCCACTTAACTGCCTGAATATCGGCCGATTTTTCGTGCGGACAAAAATTCGGCCAATAAACGACCCGCCTATGGCCTGCATCACTTCAGCTTGTTTAATTAAGCTCTGACAATAAAACCTGGAAGCTAATTGGTTTCTATGCAGAGCTGCACCATATTCTGTGTGCATCAGTTTAGTAAACCGCCTCCATTGGCTTTGCTAAACCCTTAGACCTCTTTCACATGGACGTCATCCTTTCAGTCACATTTTTCAAAGAAAAAAACGATTGTTTATATCCATTTGCACATTCTGTTCAGTTTACATAAGTTTTCAGTTCAGTTTATATTAGTTTAATACAGTTCAATTTACATCAGTGTACATTTGTTCCATTCCATTTCAACAGATCTGGATGCTGGCTGTTCCGTTAAAAAAAACAAAAAAAAAAAGACCTGAACTGACATGGATGTAGGCAGATGTAAACTGATGATCCTCTGTTTACAAGCACCCACCCGTAGACATACATTGTGGTTCAGTCTGGATCCTTCTGAAAAACTGTATTCATCAAGTCCTCTTTCACTCGGGTGTTCAGTCTAGATCTGTCAAAGTGTGGTCATAAATACAAAGCCTCGGAGTTAACAGAAAAGTTCAGTTTATTTAGATGCCCAATTATGGTGAAAAAAAAGTCATTAGGGATGGCTGCATGTTTGCTTTTATGTGGGATTTCATTAAGCTTCCTTGTCCTTCTGTATGCTGCGAATGCCCAGACCTCAGTGGTAATAAACTTTTTGTTTTTCATTGTTTTTCAGAGAGAACCATGAGCCGGAAAGGTTGGGTTTGAATGGAATCGCAGACACAACAGTAGCAATGGAGGTGACATAACTTCAAAGCATGGACTTTGCCTGACTGTTCAGGCTATACCTTTCCACCGAAAATGCAAAGCGCTATGCTCTGCGGATCAGAGCGCGCTAACATGGACCTAACCACGAACTGTGTATGGGACATCTTCCCATTCCACTCTATGTACATTTTGTAAAATCGGATAAAATCACTACCTTGTAAAATAGTTTATTTGTATCATCCATATTATTTCTGTTACTTGAATAGTTGATATTCATCATCATGCTTTTGCACTTGAATTTGCAACTGAATGGATATAAAAAAAAAGAAAAAAAACAAATCTTTAATGGGATCATGAGCATGAAATGGGGTCCTGCATCACTTGTTTTAACTATTTATTTTGCCATGTTTACATTTTGTATCTTGTACAAATAAATCCAACTTTGTGTCTGAAGCAAACGTCAAAGTGGGCCCATTTCCTGTACACAGAGGAGCAGCCCTTTTTTTTTTTTTTTTTTTTTTTTTTTTTTCCTTTTTGTTTGCGACTAAGCCAATAGCCACCCTGTCAGATCATGCATTGGTGATGTCACCTGTCTCAAGTGAACTGATTGGTTGCTTACCTCTTATTGGCTCAGCCTGCAAAATGCTGTGTATAGCTAAGCGGCCCATCTTAAACTTTCATAGTTGGGAAATAAAACCTCCCTTGTGTTGTTTTTTTTTTTTTTTTTTCTCCTTTTTCCTAAAACATGTAGTTTTTTTTTTTTTTTTGTTTTTTTTTTTACATTATCAAACCCCCATCCTTATTTGTAATAGCCAGCACTTCACTGTCAGATACAAAGTTTGCGGCAAAAATAGTATTTTCAATTACCGTGGGGGAGGGAGGGATCAATACATACAAAGTATAACATACACACTTGCTCTTTTTCATATATTTTGAATGTACATTTCTATTTATAATTCCAGTTTATAAGAGTAACAAAGTCTATCAAAAGAAAAGCAAAGCATTTGGCACCTGAGCTGCATAGATATTTCCATTTTATCTTAAAGACCTATTTTATTCCTCTATCAGACTTTTTAAGGAAGGATTCTGGTGAGCGTTGTCTGGATATGAAATGTTTGGTGCATTAGTATAAATTGTAACAAAATTAATGTAGCAGTTGTGGCTTCTCTCTGTGTCCATATACATGCACAAAAACTAAGACTCAACATGATAACCATGAGAAACGAATTGATCGCATCTGAATAAGTATAGTATCCAGCCTAGGTTGAGGCTAAGCAACCTGGAGCAAAGTAGGGTGATGAGTACTTGCATTAGAGCTAGAATTTTCACCTTTTTTTTTTTTTTTAATGGGGGATGGGGTTTGTGTAAAGGAATGATTTAAAATACTGTTGAGGTAACATTTTGCTTCAGTACTTGGAGTTGCTGACCTGGAAAAAATATGCAGGATTTCTGACTTTTTCTTTTATCCGCCTACTTGTTCCAGGCAACTCAAAGTACAAAAGCAAGATGGCTACCCCAACAATATTTAACTCTACCCCCCATCATTTAAACAAAAATAGTCTGAAAGTGGAGTATTGAACTGTGAAGAAGAACAACAAAAAGAAGCGCACCAACCTTGCGCATTACCTCAGTAACCAAAATTTATTTAGTAAAAGAATGGTACTCACAAACAGCGAATAAAAACAAGCATGTAAGTCCTCAAAGGGACTTTAAAGGCAAGATGCCAATGCGAATCCCATCATGGAGGAAGCCACTCAGTACAGCTGACGCGTTTCGAAGGACATGCCTTCTTCCTCAGAGCTGGTCTGAGGAAGAAGGCATGTCCTTCGAAACGCGTCAACTGTACTGAGTGGCTTCCTCCATGATGGGATTCGCATTGGCATCTTGCCTTTAAAGTCCCTTTGAGGACTTACATGCTTGTTTTTATTCGCTGTTAGTGAGTACCATTCTTTTACTAAATAAATTTTGGTTACTGAGGTAATGCGCAAGGTTGGTGCGCTTCTTTTTGTTGTTCTTCAGTTTTGTTTGGGCTTCCCCAGCCTTGGTGTGGAGCTGCACGACCTTGTCTATTCCGGTGGTTCCTTCCTTTTTGGAGGTTGATTCCATCTACTCACCACCGGTCTGGGTCCCGGAGCGCAGGAGATATCGCAAGTGGAGTATTGAAGCCAGATCACATAACTGACGAGCAGCTAGCTTTTTCAAGAGAAGGCCAACCAAGACTTTTTTTTTTTTTTCTTTTTTTTTGTTTTCCTTAGCCTAGCCCTTCATTTGATATTACTAAAATGAACTGTAATGTAAATATAGCCATTTATTCTAGTTGGAACACCATGGACTAGAACATCCCTACAGTTAAACATAACACCTCTAAAGAGTAACTCCACTTATGCCGAGGAAAAAAAAACATTCCCCTCTGTTAAAATGCCTCCAATGTACAGAGAATATCCAAACTTTGTTGCAGATTCCTACTTTATAATTCTGAAGAAATGGCTGGCTGTCCATGTGCAGAGTGAGTCCATATGGAAATGATTTTATAATTCAGCTGCTGCATCTGCAGGGTTCTGAGGAAAGTGGCAGGGTCTGCATCTCTCGAAGTGATTTTTTTTTTTTTTTTTTCCCCTTTGGAAGTATAATACCAAAAAAGAAAATTTTTATTACAGGGGATGCTCAAAATCTAACGTATCTTAGTGCAGACTTCTGGGAAAATTAGCCAATCACACAAGAAGGAAATTGCATTGCTGGGGGACATTCTTTATATCATCTGTGTACAAAGTGCCTCCAGGTAGCCATATTGCATTGAACTTTACAGAAAATTACAGCTCTGCAGATTGCATAGGAAAGGTATTTTTTAATAACATTCAATTACATTATGACTTGTGTAGCAATTGCATTTATTTTACTTTTTGCTTGTTTTCCCCAAGAAAGTGGAGTTACTCTTTAATATAATAAAGGAAATCACAAGCAGAAGTTTTCTTCAGTGAAAACTGTATTTAAAATGATCAGTAGAGTCATACATGCAGACAGCTGCTAGTAAATGCAGATCAGGTTTATTCTTGTAAAAGTTAGAGTAACTCCATTTTTGTTGAGAAAAAAAATAAACCTTTTTTCCTCTGAAATCCCTGCAATTTACATAGATCACCCAAACTTTATTGAAGATTCCTACCTTTAGTATTCTGAAGATATAGCTGTTTGTCTGCATCCATGTGCAGTATGAATCTGTATGGGAGTGATTTTATAATTATCAGTCAGCTGCTGTACCTGCAGGGCTCTAATGATGAAAATTGCAGGCTCTGCATCCCTTTAGACAGAATTTCCCATTGAGAGTATCTCATCAAAAAGCATACTTTTGTTTCAGGGGATGCCTAAATTCTGGCTTCTGCCTTATGCAGGCCATACATGGGTCGAATTCAAAACAAGTGTTCTTTAGAAAATTGGAAATTTTGTGATCCAATGGTGCCACTATTTATTTAGAATTTTTGGACCAACCAAGCCTTTGATTTCACCTCATGTTGCTACAGAAAAGGATTTTCGTGGCCAAGAATTCTCCTTTCTTTCCATGCTCATTTCTTTTTCAATTACATTTCTCGCATGATTCTCTCATCATTGAATAGAAATTCGTTCGTTTTTCAGAAACATTTCGACCATGCCTGATCACACAATTTCAGTGGTCACTTGAAAATCTACTGTTGCCCACTAATGATGCGAAATTCGTACTAAAAGTCTTAGAAAAGATTTTCGAAAGAAAATTCTTTTGGAATTTGACCCATGTATGGCTGCTTTAAGTGCAGATGTCTTGGAAAATCAGGAAGCCAATCATAAGTAAAAAATGACATTGCTGGGAAGTGTTCTGTACACAATCTGTGTGGAGAACACATCCAGGTTACCATATTGTATTTTACAGATAATTACAGTGGCTGCAGATTGAAAAAAGAAAGGTAATAGCATTCAATTATAATATGACACGTGTCACAATCATGCATGCCATATTAATTTTTTAATGTTGCCTTTTTTTTTTTATATATATATATATATATATATAATTCTCATAAAAGTGGAGTTACCCTTTAAGCTTGGCCCTGCTTGCGCTTCCTGAGACTTTGATTGGTAAGGCTTCCCTCAAATTAAAAAAAACAAAAAAAAAAAAACCAGGCATGAGAGTGGGTGGATTGAAGTTTTACTTTTACAAGGAGAGATCTGCATTTCAGTGGCCTATGCATCTGGACTGTGGATTGATTTGATATGTAGCTTTCACTAATTGCAACCTCCTGCTTATGACATTTTCATCATATGCTTAGTGTGAATAGCCCATAGGAAAACGGGGGGAGGGAAAAGACAATTTGTAATACTATTTTGGCAATAATACCTCCAGTACAGCGGTCAAATTTAATTCCTCCTAAGTGTAGCAAACCCTTAGCTTCAAAATAGTACAAACACAATGCTTTTGAAAGGTCCATATAGCCTAAGCCTTTAAAAAAACCAAAACCAAAACACTGGTTATATAATGGCTTTTACACAATGCTTTGATTCTGTGCTTCTGTGTGTGGTCACTGCTTCTTGTTATAGCTGAGCAGTCTATCCTTCTGTTGCAGCAACTTTTTATGGATAAAGTATTTTGTTCTATGTAGGCTATGCTGTCTGCCCAAGGAAAGGTTGGAAACCTACACATTTATGAAGGTGCCAAGGCCACGATCACATGTAGGCAAGCTCACCCTAGGGCCTAGTCCATTACCCCCCCCCCCCCACCCCTCTCCTAGCTGCTAGATTGTTTGCTCTCATTAACAAGAATATTGTTTTGAAATTAAAAGCTTTCCAAAGGTCATCTTTAACACACTGTTCAGATTTTAGCAGGTCTTTATTGCATTCTACCACATCAAAATGTTAGCTTCTTACTTCTAAGCCCTCCTTGGTGCCAATGTGAAGAGGATAGTGTTTTTCTGTACTACAAGGCAAGTAACAGGTCTGAAATGGTCTGAGTCTTAACGGTTGGACACTTTTATTGGTAGTGACTTTAGTGTTTTTTATATATATATATATATATATATAT